ATAAAATTTAAATGAGCCAATCAATGGACATGCTCTGGAGCGCAGGTTAACTAATACCTGCACTCCAGTTAACGAAATATGCATGTATATAATTATGTCTGACACATTTTCAAGAGAAAGGTCCCCAAAGTATGATACACATGAAGAATATATTTCATGGTAAGGAGAAAGCTATTGAGGTTATTTGTTTCTACAAATGCCACCAGCAACCTGACAAACATTTTAAAAGAATACAATAACAAATATATTGAAACAGATACTTGATTAGTAAAAGCACTAATTTACGTGTTAACTAAAAAAGCAAAACTATAAAATCAAGAAAAAAACGTAAAGAATTATATCCCACAATATTTCCGTATTTCTTACTGTTCGCATGATTATTGGTTCGATAAACTAACTGTACGCAAAACTTTTGCCCCTACGATGAGTGTTATGCATGACCGACTGATGTCTGTTCTCTGTGCATTAGCAATTAATTACCGATATATGGTGAAAATAATGAACAATTACCTATAACATATGCGTATGGTTATATAACACCTCAAAATATTATATAGCACTCAAAAATATTATATAGCACTCAAAAAATATTATATAGCACTCGAAAATAGACATTTAAACTTTAGGACAGTTCATACTGGAGAAAAAGTATTCCCGCTCTGATATGATGAATTACTAAATCGACATGTGTTTTCTGTGTGTGTGTGTGTTGGTGCGTGCGTGCGAGTGCGCGCGGGTGTGTGTATGCGTGTTCTTGACAAAGCTTCATACTAAGGATTGTGGAATGTTTGTTACAAGCCCTGTTTAACGAAAGATCCGTTGGACATGGCAGTGCACATTGGCCTTCTTTATGTGTACCATCTTGCCAGAGTTTAGTCTTCAGCTCGTATGTATGTGAAACATGTTGAATGAAAATTTCACCAAGATCTCGACATTCCACCAGTTAGCCAGAAATTGAGAGAGAAAACCATATATATAATGTATTAAGATTTTATAATGATTTTATAAGAGGCTTTACGTTTATTATTCTCTTAAACAATAAAGTACATAGTTAGCAAAATTAACATATATTGTATTCAAATTTAGTAACAATATATACGAAACACAGTCGAATTTTAGCACAACGAAATTGTACATCTGCAAACTATCCGAATGGATATGCACATTTTAGCTCTTAAGTTCACTATTGCCTTGGATGTTTGTTCAAATCCAAAATGAAATTATATAAACTATCAAATATTTTCTTTTGCACGCCATTGGTTTTTATCCTAAAACTAACAACGGCAAAATCTGTCTTTCTGCAACCTTGTAACGCATTCTAGATAGTACATTGCACTCCTATTGACGTTTTCTTTTTTTTTTCTAACTGCCTCAGAACTCCTTTCTTAAGTTCATGGTATCAGAAACATTTTATTGGAATAAAACATTTAAGTGAAGAAGGATAAAAATTCAATTATGATAAATTGTTTACCTATTCAATGCAAAGAAAATGTTCAAGACAATGGGAATTAAATGAAAATTCTGTTTCGCGTTTTCGATAAACTGCATACAATTAGAAGTCATTTACTTCAGATGTGAAAAAAAAGAATAGAAAGCCTACAGGGTGAATAAAAATCTTATAGCAAACTAGTGGTTTAAATCACCTGAAAATAATGCTGGGTCCCTATATATTTATAGATCTAAGCCTCCCCGGAAATAAGTCTTACTACAGCTAGATTCTTCATTTCTTACTACAGATTCCTCATTTATTTGCTTGGAACCTGTTTGATGATAGCACAAGTGGGGTGGGAGGGTTGTCGGCGGGAGGGTCAGTGGAATATGTCAGAACACTATAATAAAAGTAATATACAAATGTAGGCTTTATAAATTTTGTCGATTCATTTTGAACAGACATGCTGAGATTTAAAAAAAAAATCAGTGCCATTGACGAAGTGTTACAAAAACTTCAGATAGACAAAGCTCATAGGAAAATTATTCTCTCGAGCTTTATACATATCCCAATGTATTAAATATATATGTGAGCCATACCTATCCCACCTTCCACGGAGGAAGATCTGAAACAGTTGTCAATACCTTTAATTATGCCTCGGATCAAATTCACCCTATTTATCTCAAAATGCAGTTGATTGTCAACAACCAGGGACATATATCAGCAATCAGTATTTTCGACAGAGGCAATGACAAGAAACCACGAAAAAAGCAGAGCAATTTGTGAACAGTGTTTACTGCACAAGTTGAAGTTTTGACCCACTGCATGCATGGATACACACACGACTATATCACAAGTGACATTGTGCCTAAAGAGAATTGAAATCCAAATTACAGGAACTGTAGGCTAAGTCTCGTTTAATTTTCCAGTTCCTTTTAAACTTTATTAAATGGACTGTGCAAGGTTTTGGCGGCATTTTTGAAGGATACATGTATAAGAGAGATGCTAAACAGTGCAGCAGAACGTAATGTAATGATATTTTACGTACCAGTCTAAATTAAAGTTTACAAATGTATTTAATTAAGAAAAACCAGGCCTGTTAGTATATTAAGTATTATCTCTAAGATTTTAGAAAGAGCTGTATATAATCAATTAGAATCATTTCTTGTTAAAAATAATATATTGTATGAACACCAATCTGGTTTTAGAAGTTCACATTCAACTGATACTTGTCTCATACATTTGTTAGATCATATCAGACTGAATAATTCCAATGGCTTATTTACTGGAATGATAATGATAGATTTGCAAAAGGCATTCGATACTGTTGATCATAATATTCTTTGTGGAAAACTTCATCTGATGGGAATTACCAATACAGACTGGTTTAGATCTTATCTTAATAACAGGCAACAATTAGTACATATTGGAGAGTTTTCTTCTTCTCCATCAATAGTAAATTGTGGTGTTCCTCAGGGAAGTATTTTAGGTCCATTGCTCTTTTTATGCTATGTAAATGATATGATCACCAGTATCGATTCTGAGTGTAAGCTTATTTTGTATGCTGATGACAGCACTATACTTTTTTCTCATCATGATCCTGATTTTTATTTCACAGAAATTAGGTAAAGCTCTAGAATCTTGTTCAGATTGGCTAGTTGATAATAAACTGTCTCTCCACTTAGGAAAAACTGAATGTATGATTTTTGGTCCAAAGAAAAAACTTAAAAAGATTAATAATTTTAATATTATTTGTAATGGTCACACTATTGAATCTACTAAGACAGTCAAATATCTTGGTTTGAAAAATTGAAAATCTTCTGTCTGGAGAAGAAATTGTTAATGCAGTCATATCTAAAGTAAACACTAAACTTAAATTTTTGTACAGAAACAGTAAATGTCTATCATTTAACTGTAGAAAATTGCTTTGTTCTGCTTTAATCCAATGTCATTTTGACTATTCTTGTTCGTCCTGGTACGAAAGTTTAAATAAAAGTCTGAAAAAGAAACTGCAAGTAGCTCAAAACAAAGTCATAAGGTTTATAAAAGATTACCATCCAAGAACTAGTTTAACTCCTTCTGATTTTAAAGATGTTAACATGTTAAATATTGAAAACAGAGTTAAACAACTGAGACTTAATCATATGCATAAGATTTTTTATAATACGTGTCCAACTTATATGAAAACAAATTTTGTTCGGATGTCTGATATACACAACTACAACACTAGATCAAATAAGTTTAATTTTTCAATTCCTCTTTGTAATAAGACATGTAATAGCACCTTTTTCTATAATGGTATTAAAGATTGGAATAGTTTTGCCAGATGATGTAAAATGTATATCAAATCCAACTTTATATAAAAATTCTGTTAAAAGCCATCTTGCTTCAATATGGGCTGCGCAACAATCAAAGTGACTTTTTATATTACTAATTAAGTGGCGACATAGGTTTCGCCAAACTTTATTGTTTTTAGTTATCTTAATTTTTTCCTGTGGGCTTTTCTTTATGTGATAATGCAAAACTACTGTGATTGAATAATTTGAAGATTATCTCACTGTCTATTTTTATTTGAGGAATGAATGTCTCTCTGGTTTTATCTTGTTTCCATCTATTTGGTTAACAGGACCCCATTGGAAATAAGCACACAGCTTAATGGGCTATCCTTGTAACCATAGATCACTATTTAACAAAACCCTTGTATTTGAAATTTTATTGAAATTCTTTTACTTCTTTATATCATGTTTATCAGTAACTTTAGTTAACAATATTCTGTGATAATTATAATTCTGACCTATTGTAGTCTTAACCTGAAATGTGATTTTATTAATTTATTCATTTGCTTTTTTTTTAAATACATTTATCCTATGCCTCATCTGATCTCAGTCATTAACTAAATTTGTTTTTATTTATTATTAATATGAAATGATATTTTAATTTGGATAAACTGTTTTATTTTATATATATATTTATTTATATATATATCTTATTATGTAACTGTGATCTATGTTGTTGCTAAAATAAAATAAATAAATAAAAAAACGATACGGTTACCATGAGTTGATTAAGGCCTACATGCATCCTTTAAAGTTGTCGGATGTCTATCATGTTGAAAGCTTTCCATCTTCAGTAAACCGTTGCTACTTTTACGTATACCGCCCCTAATCATTGGGTGAACATAGTTGTGTTGGACCACAGGTGTCCAGTCTTGGTGTCTTGGCTGATATTCACCCCCCCCCCCCAAACCCAAAAAAAAAGAAATTAACAAGCCCCAAAACAACTTTATTTTTCTGTGATAAATGAAAAAAAAAGCACGAAGAAGTATAAGTGTATAGGGAAAAAATATTTTTCCCTTTTCTTTCATTTATCACAGAAAAGTTGTTTTGGGGCTTTTAATTTTTTTCATTCAATTCTAAATTCTTTGAAGTAAATCATTTTCAAAAGTTACCTGGACAGACGTCTTCCCAGACCGCACAGAAGGAATCGGAAAGCTAAAACTTATTTTATAAAAAAAAGAGGTGGACGAAAATAAAAGGTCACGAAAGATTTGAGTACGAAATTAAATGTTTGGTTTGGCTGCGTGCTGTGAGAGTGAGGGAACAGAAAATGCAAAAGGGCTTTAATATTCCTATTTAAACACCCACAATTTCATGAAGGTAATAATACTGATAATATATCTCAAAAGGTTTTAGTTCTAAGAACGAAATATATGCAGAATAACTAATAAAAATTGACACAGAAAAAATAAAATTTAGCACGAGCGATCTAAACTATTCGCCCCATTCACTTTTCGAACCGTATCGGCTTATTCATATTAAATGCATTCATATGGGCATTAAAAACTGTTTTAAGCATTTATTGTAAAAAATGCTGTTTTTGTCACTATAAAAATTTCATATTTGAATTTTTAATTGACCATATTCATAATAAAATTTATCAACAGGGATCAACTCTATGCAAACTGGAAGTAGATAATATAGATTGAGTAAATGTATCAGTTCTTTCTTTTCAATAATCTGTCAAAGATAAATTTATCAAACATCATAAGGAGAGGTGTCGAAATGTCTGTTCTGTAGTCTGTCCAAAGCAGAGCAGGAGTGATCGTATCAATCCTCGGTATAGTCCAACGCTCGCAATCAGTAAATCACAAGGCAAGCATAATAACTAACAAGAAATTAATAAAACCATAACGCTTAATTAAAAAAAAAACCATTTACTTCATTATTCTTTCATTCAAAAATCATTAACCTCTTCATGGTCATATGACCAAACCACAGCAAACATATTACATAAGGGGAGTGTCATTGCCATCTGATTACTATTAACGTTGGCCTTAAGCCCTTATAATAATTATAATTATAATCAAGATAATAACCTCTCCATCCAGGTTTTTTTTCCAGGATTTTTTGAACATGGCCATTGGGAATTTCAAGCAATGTTTTGTTAAATATTGGGAAAAATTGCATGAATTAAATTTTGCAGTGAATATTTTTATCTTGTAACTTTTCAATTGGGAAAATTTTCCTGTGGATTGGGAAAATAATGTACTATTTTCAGTTGGAAATTTGACCAAATATCGGCTATAAAATAAGCCAAACAAAATCCCTGCCATCTGTTAGAAGTACATGTAGGTTTAAGTTTTTTAATTTTGACAAATCAAATATATATATGCAATATTTCTTTTTCCTTTCAGATGGTGTGAAATGTAATGCATAGCAGAAGAAATTTTATGAAGTACATGTAGTTATAAAATAAGAAAATTATGTCGTTGTCCAAAAGGAAAAGTTTGGATGATAACACTGATGAACCTGACTTGAAGAAAGTAAAGGAATTCTCAGATGTTGAAGGAACAAATGGACATCAAAATTGTGCAGTTGTAGATGGTACTCAAGAATATGATCTTGAAGACTCAGATGGGTTTGAATTTGACCCACAATCTACCTTGAAACAAGATTCACTTGATAGTAATGGAGTAATTGATGGTGAAGACATTGCCAAGTTGCAAAGAGAAATAACAGAGGAATATGAAGCAGATATTGATAGTAAGAATGGAGGGGGACATGAAAATCCATCCACCACCAAAATATCTATGGAAAAGATTGTTTCAATTCAAAAAGATGCAGAACTTATTAAAGGAATCATACCAGGCAGTGACATTGAAACAATTTATGATAAAATTATGAAAAAGAGGAATGTGAAGAATAGGGTAGATGTTGTAACAAATGATCTTCTTGAAGACAGTGAAAACATGAATGCATCAGCTGTTAGCAGTGTGTCAGATAGTTCAAGTGATGAAGGAATATTCAAAGAAGTAGCTGAAGTTCTTATTGTGAGACCAAATGCTGATCCTAACAGAGTGTACGATCTTTTGGATCAGTTAACCGACACTGAGAAAAGAGTTGAAAAAGTTCTTGGCAAGTTAACTAGTGCTGATGATTTACCATCAAGAAGTGGGTCGGAAACATCTGCAAGTAAATCAGAATCATCAAATGTAGAAAAGTCAGACTCTTTTAAAGGAAAAGATCCATTCACGGATCCAGAATTTAGGAAGAATCCATTATTTAATGATTTAAGAACGTTACGTAAAGTGTTACCTGAGAAAGATCCAAATGAAATATATGCTTTCTTGGAAGCACACTATGACAAGGCCAACAGAGTGCAAATTGTTATTGATGAACTTACTAAATCGGAGAGCCAAGAATCCTTATCTCTACCAACAGCAGATTCTTCTGAGGATTTTGATAGAGGAAAAGCACCACTTACTGCTGTAGACAAATTCCATGCAGATTTAAATGAACTCAAAGAAATATTCAGGGACTGTGATCCTAATTATCTTTACAATAAACTAGAAAGTAGATCAGGTGAAACAGATAGAGTACAAATTATAGCTGCTGACCTGTTTGAACATAGAAATTATCCAAAGTTGAAAGATATCAAGGAAAAAGAAGAGAAGGAAGATCTCAAGGATAAGATTGTTAATATGAAGTTTGACATGAAAACATTTTTGAAGAAGTTCACAAATCCTATGGAGTATTTTCAGGATACATCTCGCACATTAAATCAGAATTATAAGGACCATGTATTGGTCTATATGAAGAATACATATCCTTTCTTGAAAGTTGGATATATTAAGAAAGTGTTGGAGCAACATAATTACCATTTAAGTCCAACAGTGAAGATGGTAGACCAAGAGTTGCAGCTAATTGCAGGTATTATTGATTTTTTTTTTTTTGGTAAGTCAGGGCTTTTTTTTCAATGTAGGTTAGGGAAGAAACCCTGCCCTTTGTCTTTTGGGGGGGGGAAATTATACGATATATTTTCAGAAGGGGAAGAAAAAACTTGATGTAAATTTCATTTTTTGGGAAAACTTCATGATTTCAAAGAATCTTTTAGGGGATGCCGTCCTTAATACGGCCCTTGCTATAGAAGAAAAAAAACGTCCTGTAAGTGTTATTTATAAAACCATTAATTGTTTTCCTGCTATAGGGGTCATAATAGACATGTACAGATTTATTATATGAGTAAGGTAGGTTAGTCAAAGGTGATTATAATAAGATACTTTTGTTCAGAATCACATTCTCCTGAGGGCTATTGCCTTTATGAAAAAAAGACACAAAATCATGACTTGGGTATGTGAAGTAGGGCTGGTTAAAGTCCATGATGTGAAGCATTTACAAAAGATTATTAAAAATAGTTTTAAAAATTTATTTCTTATATATTTGGTTTTTTTAAACAGATAGACCATCCAAGAAAAAGCGGGTAACACCCAGATTCGAACATCTTGATTACCCGGAAAATCCTGATGAACCATTTTTCCAAGAAGTAATGTTTTGCAATCATAGGCAAGAGATTAAAGGTTGGTATTCTGATACATGAAAAATTGATACATTAGTAAAGAGGTTTGTTAAAATCTTTATCAAGTTGAATGTATTTAAGATTGTATAATAGTTTTGATCCATGAAGTTCATTTACAGCCATTTCAATAAATTCTATTTAAAAGAGGTCTGTTAGATCATGAATGTATATTGTACATGTATTTGATTTTATTTCAGATTATATAGGTGAGCAGACACGGGTGAGAAATTTGAAGATTGAGGGGGCTAGGAAGAATGGAGAGTTGTTAGAATGTGGTTGTTGTTTTGACGACGAGTGTTTATTTGAGGAGATGGCAGCATGTGCCGATGGCCATATTTTCTGTAAGGAATGTATACGACGGTCAAGTGAAGCAGCAGTGGGTGAAGGAAAGACAAAGTTTCTCTGTCTAACAGGTTAGTTTTCTGTCAAAGTTAAAAATATCTAAAATAACGTCAGTGGTAAAAAATTTTGTAAGTTACTTACGTAGAGTCCTAGGAGTCACTTGCTATCACAAGTTGGTTTTATATTTTAGGTAGCTATTCCAAATTGAATCTCTTATCCATGTATGTGTCCATTATTTTCCATGTAAATTTTTTTCTGTCAAAAATCAAGTTGTGAAAATCTGTTCTGACATAAACAGTCCTTTCCTGCATCAGTAAAAAGATGGAGAGTCAAATTTCTTATTGAGGGATTGCTTAGTTTATTGCATGCTGGGATTCCATATGGGTCCCCTAGGGTTAAGGTCAACTGTTACTTAAAAAATGGAAAAAAAATGTTTTAGGTCGATAACCTTGTGTTCTTGGGGAGGAATATATTGAGAATTGAGATTTCAACAAACAAGTCTTTTTTTTTTCAGCTAAGTATGTCTCTCTTGGAAATTTTGGCAAACCCAAATTCCCTATAAATCACTAAGGAGAATAAAATCAACAACTTGATAAGATTTAAAAATTTAAAAAATTCCTTAGTAGGGGTCCATGGTTGTGTAGTTAAGGTCTTTGACTTCAAAACCTTTCAAGGTAGAAATAAATGGAATGTTGTTGCGTTCTACATAAGGTGGGCCCGTTTTGTGCCTTGAAAATAATGCAAATGGAGGGACCTGATGCTCATTCCACAGGAATTTTTGGAAGCCACCAGGAAAGTTGGAAAATCGCCCCAATTTGGACCTTTACTTCAGTTTTTAATGTATTTCAGTTTATCATTGTAAAAAGTGGCTTTATTAAAAGTTTTAGTTTTATTTGTTTAAATTTTTTTTACTAGATAATGTTAAAAGAACTCCACTGAGGTTTAAAGTATGAAAACAAAAATATTTTTAATTTTTTACATAGATCAGAAAGTTCAATTAGAAAGATACACAAAAGATGATTAAGAGATATGCTTAGAAATGAATTGAAAATTATATTTTTGTGTTATTCTTAGCTTGATTTGAGTGAAAAGAGTGCAGCACTTTTCAAGTTTAGTCATTTTTCACACTTAAAGTAACACGGGGGAGGAAGTGTTACACGAAGGATGGAGTTCTTATGATAACTAGTTCAGGAGTTCTTGTGATAACTGTCACGGAGTTCGTCGGAAAACATTCTGTATATACTTACGAAACATCGTTTAAAAAAGGTTATTTTCATCGTTCAAAAAATTAGTTTTAGGTGCTAATTAAACTTTAATGATTAAGCTTGTCTTTAACATTTGATTATGTGTCTAAAAAACTAATTCACAAGGCCATTTTCCATTGTCTTTTCAAATCTGGTAGTTTTTTGAAGTAAAAATTTCCCCAAATTTACTTGGGCCCAATTCACAAGTTTGACCGGGTTTATTTCTTATTTCATCCTTTGCCATACATAATTTTCCCTAAATTTTAAAATGCAAAATTGCAAACATAAAGACCAAGCTTCATATTTATCCCGATTTTTTCAAATGTTCGGAGTTTCTTTTGATTTAACTCTGAAGATGTCACAGAGTTTATTAATAACTTTTGTTATTTGCCAGTTTTTTTGAGCTTTAAATCACGACAAGTTTTAGCCAATAGATTGTAAAATCATTAATGAAATGCAAGTAACAATCATCCTTTGCACAAAAATGTTGTGGATAAAACCGTTGGTCTTAAGTGTTGCTGCAAATGATAAATAGGTGAGTATGGCCTATCATCTTACAGTAAAAATTGAAACCAGCGGCCATGATATTCAGCAGTATAATGGCCTAAACCACCAAAACAAAAATGGTCTCAAAACTTGTCCCTGCCAGGTTCAAACGAACTAAGTTTGACTAATATTTTTTGTTATCAATTTACAGCAAAAAGTTAAAGCAGGAGTTTTTCCTCCACTAAGATTTACAAAGGGGAAAATACTTCAATAAACATTGACTGGGAAAAAAATATACATGAAAATAACCATATTTGAGTATTTCCAAAGCGCATTTTTATCACATACAATAAATGGGCCCTTACTTGTTTCATACAGGTCCCGGTCCCAAATCGCACCTTTTTAAAAAATTAATAAAAATCTGTCCTACGCCGAGTGCGAACTTTGACAGAAAAAAGTTAGGTACCTGTCCAGCATTTACCTATTTTAATGTTGCTCTTTTATTTTACATTTTAATGATTAAAGATCTGAGATATAACACCATTGGGCTACATTTATTCAAATTTTATTAGCAATTTTTCGGCACCTTTTTTATTTTTGAATATAATTCGGTACCATAACAATGTTAAGCTGGGTTTTTTTCAAATAGATATAACTTCCCAAAACTTTTCTGTGTCATCTTCAATATATTTTATATGCCCCCCATTTCGAAGAAAAGGGGGTAATATTGCTTTGCACTTGTCGGTCCGTCGGTCCCGTAGACCAAATGGTTTTCCGAGTGATAAACTAAGAAACCCTTAGGCTAGGAACTTCCAAAACTTTGGTCATGGTGATTGGTCATGACAGTAGATGACCCCCTATTGATTTTGGGGTCAAGGGGTCAAAGGTCAAAAGGTCACATTGAACCTTGTTAAGCAAAACGGTTTCCGATCAATAACTAAAGAACCCTTAGGCCTAGGAACTTCAAAACTTGGTATGGTGATTGGTCATGATCAGTAGATGACCCTATTGATTTTGGGGGTCAAGGGGTCAAAGGTCAAGGTCACATTGACCTTGTAAGCAAAAACGGTTCCGATCAATAATCTAAAGAACCTTAGGCCTAGGAACTTCAAAACTTGGTTGGTGATTGGTCATGATCAGTAGATGACCCCTATTGATTTTTGGGGTCAAGGGTTCAAGGTCAAGGTCACATTGACCTTGTAAGCAAAAACGGTTTCCGATCAATAACTAAAGAACCTTAGGCCTAGGAACTTCAAACTTGGTTATGGTGATTGGTCATGATCAGTAGATGACCCCTATTGATTTTGGGGTCAAGGGGTCAAAGGTCAGGTCACATTGACCTTGGTAAGCAAAAACGGTTTCCGATCAATAACTAAAGAACCTTAGGCCTAGGAACTTCAAAACATGGTATGGTGAATGGTCATGATCAGTAGATGACCCCTATTGATTTTGGGGGTAAGGGGTCAAAGGTCAAGGTCAATTGACCTTGTAAGCAAAAAACGGTTTCCGATCAATAACTAAAGAACCCTTAGGCCTAGGAACTTCAAACTTGGTATGGTGATTGGTCATGATCAGTAGATGACCCCTATTGATTTTGGATCAAGGGGTTAAAGGTCAAGGTCACATTGACCTTGTAAGCGAAAACAGTTTCCGATCAATAACTAAAGAACCCTTAGGCCTAGGAACTTCAAACTTGGTATGGTGATTGGTCATGATCAGTAGATGACCCTTATTGATTTTGGGGTCAAGGGGTCAAAGGTCAAGGTCACATTGACCTTGTAGGTTAAACGATTTCCGATCAATAATGAAAGAACCCTTAGGCATAGGAACTTCAACTTGATATGGTGAAATTGGTCATGATCAGTAAGATGACCCTAATTGATTTTGGGGGTCAAAAGGTCAAGGTCACATTGATCCTTGTAGGTAAAAACGGTTTCCGATCAATTAACTAAAAACCCTGAGGCCTAGGAACTTCAAACTTTGTATGAAATGATTGGTCGCGACCAGCAGATGACCCCTATTGAGTTTTGGGTCAAAGGTCAAGGTCACATTGACCTTGTAAGTAAAAACGGTTTCTGATCAATATTTTAAGAATGCTTAGGCCTAGGAACTTTAAACTTGGTATGGTGATTTGTCATGACCAGCAGATTACCCCTATTGATTTTGGTATCAAGGGGTCAAAGGTCAAGGTCCCATTGACATTGTAAGGAAAAACGGTTTCTGATCAATAACTAAAGAACGCTTCGGCCTAGGAACTTCAAACTTGGAATGGTGATTGGTCATGAGCAGCAGATGACCCCTATTGATTTTGGGGTCAAAGGTCAAGGTCACATTGACCTTGTATGTTAAAACGGTTTCCGATCAATAACTAAAGAACCCTTAGGCCTAGGAACTTCAAAACTTGGTATGGTGATTTGGTCATGACCAGCAGATGACCTCTTGAATTTCGGGTCAAGGGTCAAAGGTCAAGGTCACATTGACCTTGTAGGTAAAACGGTTTCTGATCAATTAACTAAAAACACTTTGGCCTAGGAACTTCAACTTTGTATGATGATTGGTCGTGACCAGCAGATGACCCCTATTTGAAGTTTTGGGTCAAGGGGTCAAAGGTTAAGGTCATGACCAGTAGATACTTGATAACAACCCTTATATAATTGTTTGATCACTCAGGGTCAGAAGTCATGCATAATAACCTTATCACATGACTAATTGGCTGCTGATAGGGGGCATACATGTTTTACAAACATATCTTGTTTCAGTTATTGTGCATAGGCATTCAAACTAGAATTCCCCAGGTGTTGCTTGTAAGTGTCGCAAGTTCTCTAATGTAACTTAAAACAACAGACAAAACTTTTAAACATATTAATCGCTGTACTATTATAACTGCTGTATTACATAGAAAACAAATGAAAATGATAAAGGGCCAGAATACTGCTAGGAGCCGGAAACTGCTAGGAAACCAGTACATAAATCCTTTTTCCAGTCTACGAAATCTGTGTCAAACAAAAAAATACTATGAAAAAGACAAGGGGGTAAGAAATAATATCTTATGAACTAAAATTCACTCAAAACCAACATAATATATCCTATTTTTTGCGCAAAGGTTGCGTACTACATTTCATAATGATTTACAATCTCATTGAATAATAAAAAACGCTAAAACATGCCGTGATTTAGCTCAAGAAACACACTGGCAATAACAAAAGTTATCATAAGAACTCTGTGACATCTTCAGAGTAATATCACAAGAACTCCGGAACATTTGAAAAATCAGGTATAAATCTGTTACCCGGTGCTTTATGTTTGCAATTTTGCATTATAATTAGGTAATTATGTATGGC